ATTTCAACATCACATCAAAGGATATCATGCTCGACTGACTCAACTTCATGATGAAGGGTTCAACCATGATTTCAAGTTTGTGACGAAGGATATCATGTTTAAAGACATCTCAAGATCGACTCAACTTTACGATGAAGGAGTCACTTGTAATGCGACTCAACAAAAGGGAGCCATCTTCTATTTTTAAGTCGAATTTCAACTCCGCGAGGGAGGATTTTGATAAAAGAGTAGTCTGCAACATTCAAATTTTAAACTCAGAGATCGACAACAACCTTTCTTGCAAGTCTTGAACAAAAATTTTTGTCCCTTTATCTTTGCCCAATTTCTTGTTACACGATAAATGGGCAAAGAGGGGTAGTTGTAGACACTTATTTCTGTCAGGGGTCTTTATTACATAGTATACCATAATATATATAATAATTTCAAATATAATTTTTGAAAATATAGTATATGTTTTGAAAATGTATAATATATAGTTTTTGAAAATGTATTTTTGAAAACATATATAATATAGTTTTTTAAAACGTATTTTTGAAAACATATAACATATAGTTTTTAAAATGGTTTTGAAAACGTATAATATATAGTTTTTTAAAACGGTTTTGAAAACGTATACTATATGGTTTTAAAAAAAATGGTTTTTGGAAAACATATATAATATAGTTTTTGAAAATGTATTTTTGAAAACATATAATATATGTTTTTTTTAAATGTTTTTGAAAACGTATATAATATATATAGTTTCTTTGAAAACATTGAAATATAATATATACATATTATAATTAGTATTTTATTTTTTGTTTTTATTATTTTATTTATTTTATTAACTTATCATATTTGTTAGGTCCAATTAAGTCCAAATCCGGTTCCAAAGGGTCCAAAGCCAAAGGTAAGATCCAAATTCAGCCCAGCCAAATCAGCAGGCCAACCTAGTGTAAAGCCCAAACCCGTCTGCCTGACCAGCAGAGGATTAAGGTTTCTTGATTAACCAAGAGCACCGTACAATTCTAGACCGTTAGATCGATGATGGATTAACAGTCCAGATCAAAGACAGCTAGGGTTTTAACCCTAGCACCGGCACTGCAAATAAGTGACAACCATTGGATCTGGTCAAAATGATCCAACGGTGAATCGAGAAAATCGAAAGGCACCCACCGACTGAACAACGACCATGCACCGATGAAGCATTCAAAGTTGAGAAAAAGGCAAAAAAATTGGCCATAACCGAGCGTGCAAGAAAATCCTGACAAAATAGGGACTGAACCATCCCGTTTTAATCGGTAACAACCATCACCGACGAGGTTATAAAAACCCTCGAGAATCATTGAAAATAAAGACAAGAAAAAGCCAATCGAGCAACAAAGCAACATATCAACAAAAAAAACAAAGCCACAAAAGCCATTAACACAAAAAAGCAACAAACAGTAAACATCTTAAATCCCAAAGGCTAAAACCTTTTGAAATTGAAAGTAAAGAAAGACAAAGCTTAAATTTTTATTTTGTGGGAGAACACCAAGGACGCGGAGGAACTTCACCGGAAGGGGAAAAGTCACTGTGAGTTGAAAAGGCATCATCGGAAAAGGTAAAAAAACTGAGGTTTTTTTAGATCTATGCCTTTTGGGGTCGATTTTGGAGTTTTAGTGGCTATATTTGGTTTTAGAGTGTAGAGGGGAACATTTTGGGAGGTTTGTAGTTTTCTGGCCATCGCTAGTGGTGGTTAGAGCGACAGTCAATGGTGGTCCGGGCGATGGCTGCTTAGCTAGTGAATGGTCGGTCATAGGTCGGTTGGGGTTTTTAATGGAAAGAGTTGAGAGAGATGAGAGTGTTTTTTTAGGAAATAAGTGAAAATGATTTTTTTGTGGTTTTGGGGCTATTTATAGGGAAGGTTGAAGTGTAATTAGTAAAATTTTAAATTATTTTCGTAGTCCCTATAATTCTGATGCGTAATTCATTTTGGTCACCTGTTGTGAATTTACCCTTGAATTTTAAATTAATTTGATTTAATCCCCATTTATATTTCTTATATTTTGCTAATTGACCCCCTAACTTTCATATTTTTTCCTTACAGCTTTCAACTAACATCAATTTAACCCCCAATTTTAAATTCTTTCCAATTTAATCCTTCTTCAATGGTTATTTTCTTTTAATTTAATACCTTTTTATTTTGTTTTATTTTATTTTATTTAACATTAATTTGACTTTTTTAGGTCAATTTTAACTTCATCAAAGGTAAGTAATTCGAGTCGAACTTTTAAACTTTGATTCAACCTTTAATTTTAGCAATTAAGACAACTGAGAAATCAAATTGGTAACGAAAGGGCAATATAAGGGTGCTAATCCTTCTTTGATTGTAATTGATTCTCGAATCCGATAAATTTCTGGTAAAACGTAGATAAGATAAAAGGTAAGTTAAGGTGACCGATCAACATAATTTAAAATGATCGATGACAGCTCCATCACATGAAATTAAATCGGAACCCGATTCTGGGTTAACCCGAAGGACGATTACTACAAGACTAAATCTACAAGGTACATCTTTTACTATTAAGGCCCCTTGATGGTTTCAAATTAAAAGATATTTATAACATTTAAACATTTTTAATTCTATATTTTGTTAATGATAATGTCAATCAAACAAAATTTAATTTTAAAACATTATAATTTTAATTTAATATTTTTGTCAATAATTATATACATTTTCTATTCGTTTATACTAAATTAAAATTTTAAATTCATCATAATTAAGGGTAGTTCTGCTTTATGGTAATTTTAATATACGACTAAGGAAATGTTCTACCAAAAATGTTAATATTTATTTAACATTTTCAGGTAAAACGTTACCTAAAACATTATATTTTTTTTTACTGGAAATGTTAATTTCACTACCTAATTTTCGGTAGAAAAAAAACATTTTAGGTAGTGTTCAATATTAATATTTTCGAAGAAAAAATAATATTTTACATATCTTTTTATCAAAAATGTTAAATATTTTATGTAGCACCTAATATTAACATTTTCGGTAGAAAAAAATTGATACCGGAGACATTCCTATAATTAGAGTCGACACAAACCAATAATTTAATCAACAAAAAATGCAAGGAACAGTTTTTTTTTTTTTTTTGACGATATAATCCTTTCAAATTGGCTAGCATTCCCCGCCCGTGTGTATAAAAAGAAGCAATTTTATTTTAATATAAAAAATACAAAAATTCCTGGGCTCCTTGATGTCCAAATACTGATAAAAGTACGGCTGAAAAGTATTATAACAATGTGATATTTTTAATTGAAGGTTATTTAAAATATTAATTTTTTATAAAAAATTAGTTATATTTGTTTCCTACAATCAAAAATATTAATCTTTCTGTCTCATTAAATATATTTATTATTATTTACTTTTAAAAAGTTAAAAACTTTTAAATCTTCACCATAATTATTTTAAATAATTATTTTTTATAAATATATATTTAAAAATTACTTGATTTAAAAATTTAAAATAAATTTGTTCATATTTTATTAACAATAAATTTTAAATAATGAAGAGTACGTTAAAAGAATTTGACCAAAAAAATCAACGTTTGATAAATTTAATGGGATAGGAGTATATTTTTTATAACATTTTCGATTAAATGAAAAATATTAAAGTTAATATTTTATGTTACATTCAACCGAATTTATTATAATATTTTCGATTATATTTATTCTCTATCGATTTTTAATTTTAAATTAGATTATTTTTTTATCGTTCTTTGAACATAAATTATTTTTAGTGATTAAACTAAGGTAATTACAAAATAATATATGATCTCAATACTTTTAATTATTTAATATTAAATACTCAATTATCCTATTATAATCTCATAAACTCAAACTTAATAATTTTAAAATTAACAATAATTTTTTAAATAGTGAAGTAATACTTAACTTTAAAAATGTCGTATCATGAAACTATCATTAATTCTTGCGTTATTCTAGGAATAAGTGCTCACCCTTCTTATTTTACGTCACTCTGCACGTGCCTCCCTCCAGTTTGCTTCTTATTTTACTTCCGCTCGTATTTATCCCCTTCTCCATCCTTATATTTTTACTCTCTTCATTTTTCCCCACCCTTTCTCTTTTCCTCTGCTGGGAATCACCCAAAGAAAAAAAAAACAAAACCCTTTCTTCTTTCGCTTCCCAAACCGTTTGCACTCTTTAGAATTTAGCTTTCCTTTCAGTTTTATACCCAACTTTACGTACTTCTTTTGATATATTAGCCTCTTGATGTTCTATTCGATTCCATCAGTTTCGCTGATTTTCTCAGAGCTTGAATCTGGATTTTTCTTTTGTTGCAAGAGTTGTACGGCACGAGGAGGTAGTTTTTGATTGGGATTGAAGAAAGGGGAGAAAAGAGAGAGGAAATTAGTGATCCCGTGACAAAATGCATCATCGAACAACTTACTTCTTCCCAAGGCAATTTCCCGATCGTGGGTTCGATTCGAAAAAGCTATTGGATCACGAGAAAAAACTCGATAAAGAAACATCAACCACTTCGACCGTTGAAAATGACTCAGCTAAGTCGATCCCAAGGGCTGCTCCAAAAGACTTTGCAGCCTATAAAACTGAGTACTCGCCGCTATCGGATCATTTCACGGACAAAAAACTTAAAGCCAAAAAGCAACAGCTCGCTCCTTGTCGTGATCTCTTCATCAATAAAAAAGCTACCACTGACAGATAACGTCTCGTGAAACCATCCTTCACTGATCATCATGATGAAGATTGCGAGTTGTTATTACATCCAGAGCCAGCTCCGGTGTCTCCTCCGGAAACCACTTCCGTTATTAATGACAATAGTGTTGACCGGAACTTTGATCGCAAGGTATCACTGCCGAGGTTCTCGACTGATAGTAGTTATGAAGGGAGCTTGTTTTCTGGGACGACATTGGATGTCAATTTCTCGAGTGAGGTTAAAGATACATGGACTAAGGACTCACCTCCCACGGCTGTACCGCCGGAAAAGGGGGATGTTAAGGAACCGGAACCGAAGGAGAGTAAAGATAGCTTAGCTTTCAAGTCAAAGGAGAGTTATTATTTACAAATTATGCTGGCGAGAAGACTTTCTTCTCAAGCAAGTCTCCTCAGTTGAACCTTTGCTTTTGCAAGATTATTGCGGACCAGTAGTCGCCGATGCAGAAACTGTTTCTTATCGTCTATGGGTATCTAATTTTCTCATCACTGTCGCTTCACTTCATTTTATTTCTCGTATCTCGAACTTGATCCTAAGTTTCTAATAATAATATTTTGTTTTTGTATTGAATGTGATTGTTGTATGTTTAATTTGCAGGTTAGTGGGTGTTTATCGTATAGTGATAAGATATCAGATGGTTTTTATAATATTATTGGGATGAATCCGTATCTGTGGGTGATGTGTAATGAATTTGAAGAAGGAAGACGCTTACCATCTTTAATGTCTCTTAATGAAATTGAACCCAGCGAGACACCTATGGAAGTTGTTCTTGTTGATAAAGATGGGGATACACGTCTCAAAGAGCTTGAAGATAAAGCCCATGAGTTAGACTGTGCTTCGGAAAACACCTTAGTGTTGGTCAAGAAGCTTGGCAAACTTGTTGCTGCATACATGGGGTAGGTTATTCCTTATGCTTTTTTTCTTCCTAATGGTTCATATACTTGTCACTGTTTTTTTAATCTATTTTTCATTATGTTTAAATTGTTATATATCCAGGGGAACTTTTCCAGTGGAGCAAGGGGATCTTCACAAACGCTGGAAATTGGTTAGTACGAGGTTGAGGGGCTTTCAGAAGTGTATTGTGCTCCCCATTGGCAGCCTATCCATGGGACTTTGCAGGCATAGTGCAATCCTCTTTAAGGTGCCAAAAGAATAGCTTTTTTTTGTTGGTTCTTGCATATATTCATGTACAAAGTCAGCTACACCTGTGATCAACCCACGACAATACAAAGAAAACACTAGACAAATGATTTGCTGGAAGGAGAATTAATGTCTCTTTTTCCCTATATCAAACCATTGTTCTGTATGGATAATAGTGAACATTGGATTTATTATACTGGTTAAGTGGATGGTTTTCTATATCTTGGGTTAAACTGCAATTTTTCTGTCCCCTGCAGCATTGATGAAAAGATAATTCTTTGTTTTGTTGTTGGCAACTACTACTCTGTCTAAAAGTTTTGAAAAGGTAGTTCATGTTAGGAAATAAACCCAGTACAAGTAATTTCCCTATAACAAGATTAGTGAGAATGCAAAATAAAAGCGGAAAAATAATACCCGAAAAATTGATAACGGAGTTCAGCCAATTGTGCTTACGTCTCCGGACTGCTGTAGATCTTTTACTAAGAGAGAAAATTTACAGGTGTTTACAAAACACTCACTACTCACAAGAAAGCTCTCTAGTATTGGAATGAATAAATGATTTTTGGATGATTTTGAAGCTAAATGAGCTAGGGTATTTATAGTTGAAACTTAAGGACTAATCTTGTAAATACCCTAAAGTTTAATGACTCAATTTTGTAATTATCCCTACTACAAAATTATAATAAAAAACCAACAGCCTCAATTTTCCAAGCAGCTGGCTGCTTAACCTTTAGCAGCCCATATGCTTTTATTATTTTTCAACAATCTCCCACTTGAAGACTGATTTTAATCTGTCTTCACACCTCGATCAATGCAGCAGCATTTCTAGTCTTGTTATTCTAGCATGCCAACTGAAGTTGAACACAACTTGAGTTTGTCCGTAGTCACCGTCTTTGTCAACATGTCTGCCGGATTTTGAGCTCCACTAATCTTTTCAAGTTTTAAAATCCCATCTTCCAGAAGAGACCGGATAAAATGATATCTCAATTGTATGTGCTTCATTCTGGAATGAAAAGATGGATTCTTCACTAGATGGATAGCACTTTGACTGTCGCAATACAAGACATTGTTTTCTTGTTTCTTGCCTAACACTTCCAAGAAACTTTGGAGACAAACCATCTCCTTGCTGGCTTCTATAACAGCAACATATTCTGCTTCAGTTGTGGAGAGAGCAACTATCTTCTGTAGTTGAGAAACCCAACTCACTGCAGTTCCTCCTAGAGTATAGACATACCCTGTAGTGCTCCTTCTGATGTCGACATTTCCGGCTAAGTCAGCATCTACATAGCCTGTCAGTATCGTATCTCCACCTTTGAAACAAAGAGCTTTGTTTGTGGTGCCCCGAAGATATCTGAGGATCCATTTGACTGCTTCCTAGTGTACCTTGCCCGAATTATTCATGTACCTGCTAACAGCTCCCACTGCATGAGCAATATCTGGTCTGGTACAAACCATGACATATATCAGACTTCCAATTGCCGAGGCATACGACACCTTCACCATGTGTGCACGTTCTTCCTCCGTCTTTGGTGATTGGTCTTTGGAGAGTCTGAAATGAACACCTAAAGGTGTACTTACTGGTTTAGCATCTTGTATGTTGAACCTGGAGAGTACTTTGTTGATGTACTCAGCCTGTGATAACATCAAAGTCCCCGACTTTGTGTCTCTCTTGATCCTCATCCCAAGAATCTGCTTTGCAGCGCCCATATCTTTCATTGCAAACTGCTTCGATAATTTTTGCTTCAAGTTTATGATCTCTTGCATGTTTGAGCCTGCAACGGGCATGTTATCAACGTACAACAATAAAATAATGAAGCTATTGTCGAACCTCTTGATGTAGCAACAATGATCTTCTTGGCATCTGGTAAAACCACTACTACCCATAAAACTATCGAACTTTTTGTACCACTGTCTAGGAGCTTGTTTTAGACCATACAAGCTCTTCTTCAACCTGCATACCAGGTTTTTCTTGCCTGCCTCTATGAAGCCTTCTGGATGCCTCATATAGATTTCTTCCTCCAAATCACCATGAAGGAAAGCTGTCATTACATCTAACTGCTCAAGATGTAAATTTTCTGCAGCTACAATTTTCAACACCAGTCTGATTGTAGACAGTTTCACGACTGGAGAGAAAATTTCATTGTAGTCAATACTTCTTTTTGTTGAAAACCTTTGACTACCAATCTTGCTTTGTAGCGTTTTCTCCCATCGTGCTCTTCTTTGATCCTGTAAATCCACTTGTTGTGGAGCGCTTTCTTGCCTGGTGGTAATTCAGATAATTCCCACGTCTGATTTGACATAAGCGAGTCCATCTCATCTTTCATGGAAGACTCCCACTTGACTGAATCCTCCACCTGCATTGCTTCATCATAGCACTCTGGTTCACCATTGTCAGTCAGCAACAAGTAGTGCAAAGAAGGCGAATAACGCTGGGTTGGTTTAGGAATTCTGGAGGAGCGTCTCAGTTCTGGTGTGCGTGGTTCTTCTTGAACTGCTTCAGAATTGATTTGAACATCATTTCCAGAAATCTCCTCGAACTCAGCAAATTCCTTTGTTTCAGCTTCGGTATTGGAGCTACTTGATTCTACGGTTGACTTGTCTTTGTACACCATATTCTCATTGAAAATGACGTCTCTGCTTCTGATGATCTTCTGATTTTCGTAATCCCAAAACCGGTAACCGAACTCATCACCGCTATAACCAACAAAGGCACATTTGTTGGACTTAGCATCAAGTTTACTTCTTTCAGCAGAATCTATGTGTACATAAGAAATACAACCAAACACTCTTAAGTGTGAAAGATTTATTTCTTTCTTGCTCCAAGCTTCCTCTGGTATTCCACCATCCAAGGGAACTGAGGGCCCACGGTTGATCAGGTAAGAAGAAGTGTTGATAGCTTCGGCCCATAGAATTTTGGGCAATCCGACATGTATCCTCATTCTTCTGGCATGTTCATTCAGAGTTCTGTTCATGCGCTCTGCTACGCCATTTTGCTGTGGTGTCATGGGAACTGTTGTCTCCATCTTGATCCCATTGCTTGCACAGAAATCTTTGAATCTGTTATTTTTGTACTCTCCTCCATTATCAGACCTCAACCGCTTGACTTTCAGGCCAGTCTCATTTTCCACCATGGTCTTCCATTTTCTGAAGGTATCAAAGACGTTTGATTTCTTCTTCAGAAAATAAACCCACACCTTCCTTGTAGAATCATCGATGAATGTGACATAATATAGTGAGCCTGCAAGAGATGTAACTGGAGATGGTCCCCATACATCAGTATGAACCAACTCTAACTTTTCTGCCTTGGGTGTCTTGCCAATATTTGCAAAGCTGACTTTCTTTTGTTTGCCAAAGATGCAATCCTTGCATAGTCCGACATCTACATTTTTTAGATCCGACAGCTTCCCTTTTGACAAAAGCGTCTTCATCCCTTTCTCGCTCACATAGCCAAGCCTTTGGTGCCATAGGTTTGATTTTCCATCAGCATCTGCTACTGCAATGATATTCTCTAAATTTGAGGTTATATAGAGAGAACCAGTTTTCTTATCACGAGCAATGACGAGTGCTCCTTTGATAATCTTCCATTCACAGCCTGAAAAGGTTGTACTATATCCTTCTCCATCAAGCTGTCCAACAGAAATCAGATTTCTTTTAAGGCCAGGAATATGTCTCACTCCTTTCAGCGTCCAGGTGGTCTGGTTTGGCAACTTTAATCGGATGTCTCCTTTTCCGACGATCTTCAAGGTTTCATCATCAGCTAGATGAACCTTCCCAAAATCACCACTGACATAATTTTCCATGATTTCTCGGCATGGGGTAGAGTGGAAAGATGCCCCTGAATCCCAGATCCATGATTCAATCAGACTGTTTACGCTTAGAATCATGGCATCATCTGTCTCTTCTGTCACGTTGGCAGATTCCTGTGCGCCGGTATTTTTCTTCAGTGCTCGGCAATCTCTTTTAAAGTGACCCTTCTTGCCACAATTATAACAGGTAAAATCTTTCTTTCCAGTTCTGGATTTTCCCCGTCTGGATTTCGATTTGCCATGATTTGAATTTCTTTCTGAAGTTCTCCCTCTGGACTCCGTGTGCAAGGCTGAGGAGGTTTATGCTTCACCCGATTCTCTCCGTCGAATTTCTTCGCTCAATACCAGATCCCGAACATCATCGAATTTCAATTTACTATTTTCTGACGAGCTGCTAACTGCTGTAACAGTAGCATTCCAACTGTCTAGTAGAGATGATAAGAGAATTAAAGCTCGAACTTCATCATCGAATTCAATTTCCATTGAACTCAACTGAGTTGTAATTGTGTTGAGTTCATTTAGGTGTTGTGCCATCGATGCCCCTTCCGTCATCCGCAAATTGAATAATCGCCTCATCAAGTGCACTTTGTTTGAGGCTGATGGCTTCTCATACATACTGGAGAGAGCTTCCATAAGACCCGTCGTGGTCTTTTCCTTTGCTATGTTGAAAGCAACATTGCGGGACAACGTCAGTCGGATAACTTTGTGGGCTTGTCTGTCGAGAAGAGTCCAGTCTTCTTTCTTCATGCCCTCTGGTTGTTTTCCTGAGAGAGGTTGATATAGATTTTTCTGGTACAAAAAATCTTCAATCTGCATCTTCTAAAAGCCAAAGTCCGTACCATCGAACTTTTCAATTTTCACCTTCCCTTCGTCTGCAACCATCGCTCCCACTCGAATCTGGCTTCTTTGGATCGTTACTGATAATTCTTGCAAACCACCGTGTATTAGAACACCTCCGTCGATAAATTCGTATCGCAGATAAAATTTTTACTATTCACAAAATTCACTATTCACGTTAATAATAATGAATAGTAACCTCGCAAAAATTGACAAAATTCACAACCAAAAGCTCTGATACCAGTTGTTAGGAAATAAACCCAGTACAAGTAATTTCCCTATAACCAGATTAGTGAGAATGCAAAATAAAAGCGGAAAAATAATACCCGAAAAATTGATAACGGAGTTCAGCCAATTGTGCTTACGTCCCCGGACTGCTGCAGATCTTTTACTAAGAGAGAAAATTTACAGGTGTTTACAAAATACTCACTACTCACAAGAAATCTCTCTAGTATTGGAATGAAGAAATGATTTTTAGATGATTTTGAAGCTAAATGAGCTAGGGTATTTATAGTTGAAACTTAAGGGCTAATCTTGTAAATACCCTAAAGTTCAATGACTCGATTTTATAATTATCCCTATTACAAAATAATAATAAAAAACCAACAGCCTCAATTTTCCAAGCAACCGACTGCTTGACCTTTAGCAGCCCATGTGCTTTTATTATTTTTCAACAGTTCAGTTGAGGTAGAAGTAACTGCTGCTGAGTGTTGGGATGCACAACACGAAGGCAGATTGTAGCCTAGTTGACCTTTGGGGAAGTTTGAGAATAGACTAGAGAGTTGGTGTTAGTTGTCTTTGAGTGATTCTAGACCCTAGTTTAAGAAGGCTTCTTTATATGTGATCTCATTTATCCTATATGTTTGTTCCTATTATTCTCTCTTCTTTGGCCTGAAGTTAGGAATGTGCCAACTGGGAGGGGGAGGAATTAGCAACGTTAGGAATAGGCTAAATGGTTCTATTGTATACTTTGTTTCGGGTTGTGATGTGTTTTTTAGGCTTTATTGTTTTGGACTGGTTAGGACTTTGTATCTGTTGTACCTTTTGTTGGAGTTTTAATAAAATTGAGGCACTTTTCTCCTCCTTCCTATGTTCATGTTGATACCTTCTGGTATTTCAATGTATATGAAGGGGGTTTCTAATGAGGCCTCCCTTTCTTGTATATATAAAAAAAAGTTATTCTGGAACGAAAGGTATTTTGCTTATGCGTGTATGCACTGTATTGTGTGAAGATCTGGATTGGAAAATTTTTCTTTTTCTCTTTTTGACCTCAAGTGTTTCAAAAGGTATTATTTTATTGGAATACTATATTTTATTAGTTTATAGTACCAAGGACTAAGTTTTCCTGAAGTACAAGAATTTTGTAAACCATATATGAATGTCTTTAACAGGGAGCATTGATATTGCAACTGAATTAGGAGCGTCAGTGACACCCAGAACTATAACCAGTCCATTATGGATACTCCCTTTTCCATGATCATTCAGTGAGGTATCTCTAGCCTGCCATGGTGAATTCATAATGTTTCTGTGAAATATTTGGTTCTTACGAGGTCCTCATGGGAGGCCCCTGAAATTTTTCTTATCTCAATGTCTGAATAATAAATTTTTGTTTTCTGAAACCAGGTGTTTATGTAATGGACGTATAAATCTTCTAGATCTTTTCTTTTTATTCAGAATTTAAAATATTTAAAAGAATATGTTAGCATATTCTTGATTGAATGTTGCACTGCATGGCTTTGTTTGCATTATCACTTTATGCTTCTAGACCAGGATATCAGATGAAGAATGAGCGTTTGACTTTGTTGATGTGTGAAATGTATGTTTACTTACAGCCCGGATGCCCTTCAATGTAGCTGTAATATACTACATGATGATCTTGCAACAGATGGCTATGGTTTGGGTTCCTTGACTAACATAGTGTTTTACATATGCAGAAATTGGCAGACTACATAGGCTTGCCATGTAGAATTGCTAGAGGATGCAAAAATTGTGCAGCAGATCATCGTTCTTCTTGCCTTGTAAAAATTGAAGATGATAAAGTCATTTAGGTAAGCTACTCACTTTTAGTGATAGAATTTAAAGTTCATATCATCCCAATTTATAGTTCTCAGCACTCCATTATATTATAATGTCAAGATATAAAAAAGAACACAGAACTTTCATTTTTGTGATGGAATTTCATTCTTCTCTAAATGAACTTTCTTCAAATTCTATCTTCCTATTGTGTGTTTGTTGCTAATACATTTTCTAACAGGGAATATGTAGTTGATCTTGTCAGGGAGCCAGGAAATATCCTTGGTCCAGATTCATCTATCAATGGAGGATTCCATTCTTTAATGCCTTCACCATTTCAACTTTACCGTCTAAAAGAGTTCCAGCAACCTTACATGGATTACGCATCTTATTGTCAAATAATAAACTCAAGGAGTTCAAGTTCTCATTTTGAGAATCCTCTACATTCTGGTACGTTATGTTTTGGACACACATTCTGCAAATAAATCAAACTTTTGAAAATGAAATCAAATGGTGGAGATCAATATCCTGCAGGTGGCATTGAGAAAACTAAGCAGTTGAAGGAAAATGGTTTGCGTGAAAACCAAAATCCGTCATTAAATACAGCAAGTGGTCGAGATTGTTTCGTAAAGGAGATGCCTGTTGAAACTGCAGAAGGTTCAACAATGAATTCTAGACTCCATGAAGATAAACTTGCCAAAGAACAAACTCTTAGAAAAGAAATTGGTGTATCTGGAAGTACAGATGTAAACAGTGAAAAACAGTTGAAAGATAACATGCCTTGTCAGTCAGATCTGGAGGAGATTGGGGCTGTACTTGATAACCAGGGCATATTCTCCACTATTTCTGTCCCGAGATATCTACATCTTGAACCTTCTCTTGCCATTGATTGGCTTGAGATATCATGGGACGAATTGCATATTAAGGAGCGTGTTGGTGCTGGTACTCCTCTTAGTTCTTATTTGCTTATAAATTATATTTATTTCCTTCTCGAAGCATTTTAAAAATTGGCCTTCTCAGAAGATTACCAGATTGCTAGTACCAACCTTTTTGCTTCATATATCTTTTTGCAGGCTCATTCGGAACAGTTCATCGTGCTGAGTGGCATGGATTGGTTAGTATTAATTCTTCTTGCAACTGAAAATTGTTGGTCTTTATTTAATAGATAATGGATAATTCTGATATTAATCCTTTTCCCTTAGTTAAGGAATCTGGTATAGAATTCAGTGTTCTTGTAGCCTTATGACAATAAACAACTGCTGTTCTAATGCAGGATGTTGCCGTTAAAGTCTTGACTGACCAAGATCTTCATGATGATCAGTTGAAGCAGTTTCTGAGAGGTTTGTACGGATAAAACCTAAAATAATCAATTTTATTTTCCATGTTGTGTTAGAATTACATATTTTTTTTGAACTAGTGCCATTTTCTTAAAGCATGATCCTCATCCATGATCCTACCATAAATTTTATGAATTTTATTATTTTATTTTGGGGTTCTTTCCTTGTATGCTCTATTTTTGTGCTTCATGGTAAAAGCAATCCTCTAGTTCTTACTTGTGTTTGTGCTTCAAATTCTCTTTCCTTGCAATGAATTAATGTAAAGGAGCATGTGGCATGTTGCTAATTCTTAGAAATACTCCTATTTTCATGTCCTTTAGTGAGATGGATATAGTCATTTTATAACTATACCTAATGTTCTGATGATTTTTAAGGTTGCTATAATGAAACGTGTTCGACATCCAAATGTGGTACTTTTCATGGGTGCTGTTATGAAACGGCCTCATCTGTCAATTGTGACGGAGTATCTGCCGAGGTAATCAACTATCCTGATATTAAGGTAATGAACCAATATCTATTTGTAAATATAACACATGGCTAGTACCTGGTTTCTGTCAAACAGGGGTAGTTTATATCGTTTCATTCATAGGCCTACTGCTGGAGAAACACTTGATCAGAGGCGGAGATTACATATGGCATTGGATGTGGTGCGTACAATTTTCTTCTTGCACAATTATCTATTGATACCAGCAGCAGCTGTTAGCACAACATTCACAGTTTATGTTGGAAACAGGCCAAGGGGATCAACTATCTTCATTGCCTTAATCCTCCCATAGTTCACTGGGACCTTAAATCACCAAATCTGTTGGTTGATAAGAATTGGACAGTAAAGGTATGATAATAATACCACATTTTGCAATATCTCTGTTTTGTTTTTCAAATTAACAATATCTACTAGTGAACCGCATTGAGTCTATTTCTCTTTCTTTGTTTTATACCTCATAATTAAATCCGAAGCCTTTCTTTTTATTTTCCTCTCTTTTCACACCCTTACGGAGACTTGAGATCTTCTATCACTCTTGTTCCACGAAACAAAATCGCTTTTTAAAAAAAATAGAAAAAAGGAACAAACTGTTCATTGTTTCGAACAATAAAAAAAAGGGAATGAAAAATTGATCGTTTCAATTGTCTTTCATCTATTCTTTTTGCTTGTTTCATTGCGCTTCAAGTCAATTCATGGATTATTCTTAATTATTTTGATCTCTTGTTTCGGTATTTTAAACCTTTCTTTTTGGCCTTTTCCCTACCCTAACCTAAGGCCTATTACACCTTGTTTAAAGACCCCTTGATTATTGTATTATGTTCATTTTTCATTGTGGAGACTTGATTGGATTCCAAGCCTATGGTAATGTTTTGGTTAGTTTCGGTTTGAGCGATTTAATTCACCCCAAACACTTTGAGTGGATATGTGTGAATCTTTGTGAGGTATTGAGTCATGTTTCATTGAAATTGGCAATTAATTGAGATGTCTTGCTTACTTTAAATTTTCTTAGTTGTGTCTTTGCTTGATTGTAACTTAATTCGGCAAATGTCATAAACTTAGTTTGATTGGAAGTTTGAGGAATAAATTGAAATTGAAGATGACAACTTATGATTTTGATATGTAATTAAGGAATGCTTGAGGACAAGCATTGAATAAGTGAGGGGGAATTGGATAAGTGCTTAATTTAGTTAACATTTTGCTTTTAAATTACTCCTTAATCATTGGTTTTTGTGGCTTATTTGTTCGTTTTAATTCATTTTATGTGCAGGACGTCAGATTCTGGAAATTGCACTAAAAGGAAGGCATTCTACAATTTTTATTATTATTTGGTCACGGTTGGAGACATTGGCAAACTCTGGGCATGACACGGTTTGATGTGAAAGTTTCTAGAAGATATTCGGAAGTCGATCGAGACTTGTGCACTCTACTTGAGATAACTGAAAGGCATTGCCCAAACCAAGACTAGAAATAAAATTTTATACGCCGGATTTAAACATAGTGAAGAATCCAAGATCAGTATCAGAAATTCAAGGCCAAAAGAGTACTTAAGAATCTCATGATCAAAGTTAGTCCATTCAATCAGGAATACAAGTTCACTGGATTGAGCGAACAATTACGCAAAGATAAGATGTTTTTAATGAAGCCCAAAGGTGTAATGAATGAAACTGGTGAAGCAGAGATAACCAAATATTGAAGCTTTAGAGTCAAGTTTCAATTTTACGACGAAACATACTCAATTCAAAAACACCTTCAAAAAAGATCGATGGTGGTTGTTAAACTCAGCGGCGATGAGCTACACCTCAACCAACTTGACCTATAGAAAGATCGATGGATCTTAGAATCATCCTTAAATTGGGTTCGAGAGACAATTCAGACGTGTTCGAGAGTCGATTCAAAACAAATTCAGTTTAGCTTAACTCAACGTTGAGTGGATAGCTTCTAGTAAAAGTTTTCAATCCATATTTCAACTCCACGACCGATGATATCCGGCTGAAAGACTACCTCACATGGCTTTCCCGTGAAGGGGAGTCATCCAAAGATCATATCACTTGGTTCAGACCCGCAAAGGAGAACCACCTAAGGAATATACCACATGGTTTTCCCGTGAAGGGGAGTCATCCAAAGATCATCTCACTTGGTTCAGACCCGCGAAGGAGAACCACCTGAGGAATATAACACATGGCTTTCCAGTGAAAGGGAGTCATCCAAAGATCATCTCACTTGGTTCAGACCCGAGAAGGGGAACCACCTGAGGAATATACCACATGGGTTTCCCGTGAAGGGGAGTCATCCAAAGATCATCTCACTTGGTTAACACCCGTGAAGGGGAACCACCTGAGGTATATACCACATGGCTTTCCTATTAAGGGGAGTCATCCAAAGATCATCTCACTTGGTTTAGACTCGCGAAGGGGAACCACCTGAGGAATATACCACATGGCTTTCCCGTGAAGGGGAGTCATCTAAAGAATTATGACCGGCTTAGACCCGCGAATGGGAGCCATCCTTTACTTAGAGGAATCGTTCACAACATAACTCAAGGCGAGAAGAGCTATCTGTCAACAAAAACTTTCGAGTTCGATTCCATTCAACTCGATGACATATCAACCGCATAGTAGTAGTGAGGAACTACTTTTCGGTTGAAGCTTAAACTGAGGTCTTTAAGTCAAAAAGAAAACCTGGGTTGGGTGCGATTTAGTAACAATGAACTATATCGTAACCGAATTTACAACATAGCTCAAGGCGAGAAGGGCTATCTGTCAACAAAAACTTTCGAGTTCGATTTCATTCAGTTCTAAGGCATATCAACCACATGGTAACATCGAGGAACTACTTTCCAGTTGAATTTTCAAACCGAGGTCTTTAAACCGAGAAGAAGACCAAGGTTGACTACGATTTGGTAACAAGAAGCCACATTCCGATTCAAATTCCTAACTACGATTTCAATTTCACGAAGAAGGATATCATTTCAAGACTGACCCAACTTCGCGACAGATAAGTCATCCCCAACTAGTGAACGAAAATTTGTGTCCTTTTATCTTTATCCTATTCTTCGTTACACGAAAAAGGACAAAGTGGGACAGCTGTAGACAACCATTTTCGTTCGTGACTTATTTAGTATATATATTAATATTATATTTTATCTTTGTGTTCTAGTTTAAATAGATGTTAGTATTTCAATTAGGATTTAGGATATTATTTCAAATATAATTTTATTTTATATTTGTTTTAGGTATTTTAGTTTCAATAATTTTAAGTGTTTTAATTAGGTTAAAAGATATTATTTTAGGAATTATCTTAGCTTGTTTTTAGGAATTTTAAGGCTTTAAATACCATATCAGGGTCAGCCTAGAGACACATATGAGATCTCTCACATCTGAGAATAAAATCTCATTTTTCTCTCTAGCTTTCTCTCTATTTTTCGCACACTTCTTTATTTTGTTTTAAATTTTGTTTTCAACAATTATGCTAAATATAACTTTGGTCATGCTTAGCTAATTTTCTTTTAAGTTGAAGGCTGAAGTGAAAGCTCAATTCCAAACGTGAGAATTGTAAGACACCTAAATCGCTTCGGAATTTTCTCTCTATTTTCTGAGCTTACTTTTCAAATCAAAACGATTTTGACATTGGTCTGGATGTTGTTATGGTTAACGTTTGAAGAAGCATTTGCTTATTGAAGCATATTCGACTTTCCGAGAACACACTTAGCAAAATTGTTTGCTAAGATGAAACTGAGATTTGAACCAGTTATTGTTGAAATAACATAATCCAAGTCGACAACGAAGAATTGTCCTTGTAAGCTGTCTTGAATTTTGAAGTAAAGTTCTGTTTCGATGATCCGAAGAATTTGAGGCAAAGCTGAAGTCTGAGGATGCTTTCACTATAAGTTTCTCTTTATGTCAATCTCTTTAGATCATTTATTTAATTATTTTTCTTTTATTTAATTCTTATCTTTTATTTTAAAAACAACTTTTCAAAACCTCTTTTTTATCTTTACTACTATTATTTATTATTATATTATATTTCTCTTTTATTTATTATTATTTTGTTTTGTTTTGTTTTATTTTATTTTTATTTTCTCTTTTAATATTTTATTTAATATTTTATGCTTTTTCTTTTTTTAAATTTAATATTTTCTTCATTTATTTTATTTTTTCTTTTAACATTTTTATATAACATTTTTTAAAATTTAATATTTCCTTCTTTGATTTATGTTTTTTAAATTTAATTTTTATTTGATATTTCTTTTATTTTATAATCTAACGTTTTCAATATTTTAGAGGTAATTTCAATCGATCAAATGTAAGTAATTCAAATTGAGTCTTTAAATTTTAATTTTAATTTTTGTAATTAAGACAACCGACAAATTAAAATGGTACCGAAAGGGCAGTTCAAGGGTGCTAATCATTCCTTGACTGTAACCGACTCCTGAATCCAACATAGTTTTGGTAAAACGCAGATCAGGTAAGATGGTGTCCGATCAACCTAAATATTTTTTAAATGATCGGTGACGACTCTAACGTGTTTTATTTAAATTGAAGCCTAATTCCGGACCCACCCGAAAGACGGCTGTGACATATATATTTGTTATATATTATAAATAATTTTTATTTTTAATTTATATAATTTTTATACTCTGAAAAATAATATGGAAATCAATTTTTTTACAAAATATTGCAAAATAACATATTTTTAGATTTTTATTTTTTTTTAAAAAAATTGAAGTAATGGTTTATAAATTATAAGAAAAAGTTATAATTTGGTTCGAACTTTTACATTTCATTGATTTAAATTTGCTTTAAAAATTCAGGAAAATGGGATTGAACGTCACTTTTATTTTGGAAAAAAAGCAAACACATGTAAAATGAGTAAATTCATCCACAGGTAGGACGAAATAAGGATGACCACAACAAAATCATCCACATCAGAATTTGAAAAGGTAAAATGCTAGATGTTCAAAGAAAGCTACACATAAACGAGATATTTTTCTAGACTGCAACTAATACGTGTACTAAATTATTGTAAAGTAAAAGAATTTTAATAATTATATATTAAGTAATAATTCTTATATTACATAAATAAAACAAATCAATAGTTACTAGAATAAAACTTTATGCAAAAAAGAGCATAATATATATATATATATATATTCAATTTAATGATGATAATTAATTAAAATAAAATATTAGATAAATTTATAAATAATTTTATCAATTCAAGCTACTTGATATGTAAAATTAAAAATAACTTGATATGTAAAATTAAAATTATTTTTTTGATATTTTTAATGTTTTTGAATAAAATATTTTATTTTTATTAAATAAATTAATTGTTTCCAATGGATAAAAGTGTGCGCACCTCGTACTCAGTATTAGCAACCGC